TTTCCGTACATCGATGACGTATTAATTGCTTCCGCTAATGAAATGGAGCACCAGGAACATCTACATGCGGTACTTTCGCATTTTAGCGAATACGGTATTTTATTAAATACAAACAAGTGCGTATTCGCCGTGCCGCAGGTGGAGTTTCTGGGCTACCTGGTATCTTCTGAAGGGACTAAACTGGTGGTGACAAGGTGAAGGCTATTCTTGACTTTCCCCTACCTAAAACTATCAGGGATGTTAGGCGGTTTTTAGGAGCATTAAACTTTTATAGACGCTTTGTACAGGATGCCGCCAAGGTTCAGGCTCCTCTCTATGCACTACTTTAGTGGTCCATCGGTGAAGAGCAACAGCGACATTAACTTTAACTGGACTGCTAACCTAGAAAGCGCTTTTTTTGCTGACGCCGCTCTTCTAGCTCATCCAGATTCGTCTGCTCCGTTGGCCATAGTAACTGACGCATCCAACTCCGCTATTGGTTCAGTCTTGCAGCAGAAGGTCCTAAGTAATTGGCAGCCGTTAAGATTCTTTTCAAGTCAAAAACGGTGCATATGATCGTGTACTCTTAGCTATTTAAGAATCAGTTAAATATTTTCGACATATGATTGAATTTTTTATACTGACTGATCATAAGCCGATTATTTCAGCTTTTAGGGAAACCCGTGACGCTTGCTCTCCGCGACAATTTAGGTATTTAGATTTTATAGCCCAATTCACACCGGATATCCGTCACATTACCGGGAAAGACAATATTGTCGCGGATGCGTTATCAAGAACGGATGCAATAACATGCTCGCTAGACCCTATTGCCTTAGCAGCTTCTCAGGACACGGACTCAGAACTCAAAAATATTTTGCGAACTGGTTCGTCCCTTAAGTTACAGAAGGTTTGTATTGATAGTACGAAAATCTTCAGACATAGATCATTCATAGCACCTGCATTTCGTAAAATGGTTTACGACAATATTCATGGTAAGTCATCCAAGTGCTAGGGCTACTATCAAATTAGTGACTGAGAGGTACGTATGGCCGGGCGGAAAACAAAGCGACACGCACAGGTCCGTGGATCCCGCTGCGTATTCCGTCTCGCTCTTGCAAACACAGATGACTAATAATAGGATGCGATCCCATTCACTCCAAAATCGCTGATAGCGCCCGGCTCACATTCCCGTTCCGAATCACCCGTTCTCTGATGGGCGCGAAACGGAAGGCGCACGCTCCGCGAGGTCCGCACTTCTCATATTTTTGTCGAGCGCATATGAAACATAAGCTCTTATTTCGTTTAGTTCACTTGAACACAGCCAATGTAAACACGTTTCACAGTGCCGCAATGTGTATTTAAAAGTCGTAAGAATAATGCCCGAAATAGTAATTTAGAGGCCGGAGTGTCTTACTTTCGGTAATTACATGTATAATTTGTTATGTTTTAAGCTCTAAACTAACAAATAATATCATATTTGAAACAAAACTACCGATCAAAACCACCTATAAAAATGTTTTGCCAATGTTGATCTATACACGCGCAAACACTTGTGAAACGGAACATAGACGCATGAAGTAGATTTGTATTGTAATAATTTTTAATAATTCGTTACCAAAACTTTAAATAATGGTAATTGCTACTTTTGTCTTTGTTTGTGTAATTCCAATAGATACTTAGCTTTTTTATCTTTCCTAGCTTTCTTCCCCGGTCGAGCCGACCCATTCGTGCTACAACTATACTACTTATATATTAGCAGCATGGCTCTACCAAGTATGCAACGGGCGGTCTTATTGCTGACAACAATTTCTTCCAGACAACCAATGAATGGACAGGATCACACGAAGATGACAGGAGTAGTGCAAATTGGTGTGATAAAAAAGAATACATATATTTATATATATACAACGTGTCCCAAAATTCAACGATAAACGGGCACCAGAATGTGGACCTGCTCATGACTACTCGAGAAAAAAAAAGAAAAAAATCTAAATCGTTTTTGAAATTGCAAAAAAAAACTCCGAAAATCGATACCACGATATGGTATTTTTAACTACCATGAGCACATTTTTAATTTTTTTTGTATCGGCAACCTTAGTAGTACTGCTATCTACCACAACCCTTATAAATCCCAGAATACATGTAGTTTTTACACAAAAATCAATTTTGAAAGATTTTTATTTTCAGTCCACTTTCACTCATCGTGGTGTAAAAAAAAGTACTGACACTACTATGACAAGTTTTTTTTAAAAATTGACGCAACTAACCAAGATTCTAAAATGGTATAATACTCTAGAAAAACTTCTGTGTGGCACAGGATTTTTGCTGAAAAATGTTGCATTAATCAAAACAAAGGGTACAAATATTTACATTTTTTTTTTTGCACTATTAATATTACAGTAAATGTTCGAATTGTTGGCCACCGGCATTAATACAGGCACGGCATCGCCTTAAAAAATCTTTTTATTCGTTGTGCATATCTTCTAGCATTGATATGATCCGCAGCCTGAGTGATATTTTGGCGAAGCTCATCCAATGTTGAAATGGGTTTTGAGTAAACCCTGTCTTTGAGACAACCCCAGTAGAAGAAGTCCAGGGGGTTTAGGTCGGGTGAACGGGGTGGCCATAAGATAGGACCATGTCGCCCGATCCAACGTCCTGGGTACTCTTGGTTTAAATATTCTCGCACAAGACGGGCACAGTGAGCTGGGTAACCATCATTTTGAAACCACATGTTTTGTAAGTCACGCAAAGGCATATCTTCTAATAATTCTAGCAAGTCGTTATGTAAAAAGTTCAAATAACTATTTCCATCTAAGTTTCCTTGTCTCAACTCAGAGGGCCCAATTACTTTTCCATTTAATATGCCCTTAGTGAGCTGGGCAACCATCATTTTGAAATCACATGTTTTGTAAGTCAGGCAAAGGCACATCTTCTAATAATTCTAGCAAGTCGTTTTGTAAAAAGTTCAAATAACTATTTCCATCTAAGTTTCCTTGTCTCAACTCAGAAGGCCCAATTACTTTTCCATTTAATATGCCCGTTCATAAGTTAATCTTGAATTGATATTGGGATTTGTTTTGTCTCATCAGGTGCGGATTTTTATTGCTCCAACTATGTAAGTTGTGAAGATTTAAATAGCCATTTTTCTTGCAGGTTGTTTCATCCGATCATAGAACTTAAGAATTGGGGATCTTCCCTGTGCTTTTGCAGCATCACACGGCAAAATGCGACCCGTAGTGAATAGTCCCGCGGTAATAACGTCTGCACACGCCTGTAGTGGTATGGGTGAAATCTGTAACGTTTAAGAATTCGATGCGCAGAACTTTTTGGGATTCCCGTAGCTAGTTCTATGGAACGTACCGAGGCAGTCGAATTTATTTTATTATTTCATTGAGAACTTCTTCATCGCGTCCCAATCTAGATCTTCCAGCGTTTCTCCTGGCAGATGGTAAACGACCCTCCGCAAACGCTTGATGCACATTAATAAATACTCGATAATCAGGGTATCTTTGAGCATTTGGGTACCTTTTCTCGATACAATCTGCTAGCAGCGTTAGCATGGCATCGGCATTCTCCATAAATGAAATGCATATTAGCGTATTCCAACGGTGTGTACGGTAGCGGCATGATAAACGCTAAACAGTCCAAAATACGCCAATAGTCCAATTCACAAAACACACAATCACAGTCCAAAATAATGCCAGGTCAGTTCAGTTTGCAGATCATCAGTCCAAAAAGCGAAGCCAAAAGTCGTCGAGAGCCACATCAATTGAATACGGATCGGTGCACAGTAAACAAAGGAGCAGAGTGTATTGACTAACTTGTTGAGAACACTAAAGCAACTTGTCTACCTGCCCTATTATTATTAAACAATGAACATCATCTATCTCTCTCTAACGTATAGTCCCTCTATTTATCTCTCTCTAACTTCTAAATTTTACTGACTACGCACATCTCCAATTTAAGTTCTAAGAACTTGCAACAAAAACCTTTTTGGTACATAGTGTAGTGTAGTGAAAGTGATTAACTAGCAACAAAAATCGGTTCTTGTTTAGAAATAGTAGGCTTTTTTGTGGCTAGTTTTCCAAGAGTATTATACCATTTCATGGTCTGTGCCGTCGGCTTGACCTGTGAGATTACATCCTTCAATTTATCCCTAGATACATACGTGTCATAGCTCCCCGTGCCGTCTAGCCGCGCTCTATACTCGCTCCCCGTACCCTTCCAGGGGTGCGCGGGCGGTAAGAACGCGGTGTTCGTCAGTACGCTTTCAATTGACCCGCGATGCACGCGTGTCACTTTGCTGCGCAATTTAACGACGAGTGTTCGTTCGAGATCATAATACTTATTAACTTTGTGATCGACAGTGTTGTGTTTGTTTACGGATTGACTTTATATCATGGTAAGTTAATCACATATTCGTAAGTGCTTGTAATATTTTATTTACTTATGTTCATTTTTATTCTAGTTTTTATCTGATTAATATTGTATATGTCCTACACACAGACTATACAATGTTTTTATATGATTTTAGTAATCGTATTATTGTTTGACTCACTCTCCTCGTTCGAGGATTAAGTTATGTCATATACCAAATTCCTAATCTGCGTGCCACACAGCCCAGATTTGCGATCTGCTTATCCTAATCAAGCGAATCCTACGATTTGATCTAGTAATGTGGACCGTACGGGCCGAAACTACGAGCCGTACGGGACAAATATACGAGCCGTACGGGTTAATCTGGTGGGCCGTACGGGTCAATCTGGTGGGCCGTACGGGTTGATCTGGTGGGCCGTACGGGTCAATCTGGTAGGCCGTACGGGTCAATCTGGTGGGCCGTACGGGCCGATTTCACGAGCCGTATGTGTCAAACTCACAGGCCACACGGATCAATTCTGTGAGCCATGTGGGCCAAACTTGCGAGCCGTAAGGGTCAAACTTTTGAGCCGTACGAATCAATATTATAAACGAACTATACTTATCAATACTTATAAAGTATCGTTGTTTACTTGTTTTAGGCGGCATCCTCTGCAGAGATGCGTACGCTCGAGTCTCTACTCGGCTGGGAAACAAATGACCCCGAGGATAATATTGTCTTGAAGAGGATAATAAAACTAATTGATGGTCATTTACCATTGGGTTGGAAAGAATGGAAAATTAGAGTCCTTGATAAGGGAGACTTATTGGGAAACGAATTTGATCCCCAAATTCTTAACAAAGTTAGATTTGCCATTCCCACTGTTGGACTCGCCAGAGCTTTTTCTCCTGAGTGCACATCGCTAAAGGAGAAAACTTATAGAGATAATATAAAATTAAAACTTTTGAAATGGCCACTGTGTGTGGGCCTTATTATACATCTAATGTCTCTGGCTGCAAGAGTACGAGGTTCAGCAGTCCGGAATGAACTGATAATAGCCTCCATCTCTGACATGAGACCACTCCTCAAAAGCAGAGAGGAGGCAAATAGGGAACTGGCAGCGCAATCTGAACAATCTGAGGATGAAATATCAGTTCCTTCTACAAGAACTTCATCTAGTAGGTCCAAAGAGCCAAGTCGACTGGACAAATTGGAACAAGGCCAGCGTAAATTGGAAAATATGCTGGAACAATTTATTAAGAGTTTTCAACCAGAAGATCACTCGTATTCGGGCTCGGAGAAGGTCTCAACTTCCCCAGAGCCATCAGAAGATGAGGAAAATGCCCCTCAGCTTTCAGTGTCATCACCAAAGCCTTGCGAACCCCCAACATCTTTGGTAAATGAAGACTTCGACTGGACCCCTACTACAAGAGAACAAGAACCTCTGATACCAACCCCGAGCCAGCACATAGCCACACAGGGTACTGAGTGTCAACGTTTAGGCAATATACCATTTTATCAGATTCGATATGCTGAGGTTCAGAAGAAATTTCATGCTAGCCCGGTCTTCGGTCCTTTAAAGGTCAACCCTCACGACCTATGGACCCCCTTCCAATCAAGATCAATTGGTTCGAATGGACTACACTCTGGGCACAATTTCCCATGGTCTTTTGCTTCAACGGGAGGCACTAACTAACACGCTGAAAGATCTAGCTATCAAACACCCAGCTATGAAACAAGACTTGAAAAATATCTTATCGACGGATACATCTTTCAAATCTCTTTCGAATGATCTGCTTCAGTACGTGTGCGGGAGAAGAGCAGAGATTATCGAACAAAGAAGGAATGGGTTCCTTCCAAAAGAAGAATATCAAGCAGCCCTTCTTGGTGCAATTCCCCCGTCAACCACCCATCTTTTCTGCGAAACACGACTAGCAGAACTATTGAAACAGCCACCTCACCAAACGTTTTTTCGCATCCCCTATAGAAAACCCTTGCAACCAAAAACTACAATGCCACACCACCCGCACGTCAAACTAGACCAACTTATAAAGTCTCAAAAACGTCAAAATCATTCAACTGACCGCGAAAATCAAATACCAGTAAAACGTACGAAACCTTCAAGCGTCCGTTCGGCACCAGAAATAAAGATCAAAGCCAACCCTCTCCCCGCGGCAAGTCTTCTAAAAATCATACCTCAAAAAGAAATAGGAATGAATGACGTTTTCAGCGGGGGGCGACTCTTGCAATTTGTAGAGGTCTGGAAGAGAGATGGCGCGCCATTAAGCATCTTACAAATAATAAAAGGATACACTATCCCCTTTGTCAAAAAGCCCCCGCTAATGCCTTTTCACCCGAAGATACAAAGTTCGAAACAAAAAATTTAGATTCAGAGATCCGGACCCTAATACAGCAGAAGGTAATAGAAAATTCCTCGATTCAGACAGGTTTCTTGTCAACTATGTTTCCAGTTCCAAAACACAACGGCAAAGTACGACCGATAATCAATCTGAAGGGCCTAAACAGATACCTTACCCCGAAGAAATTCCGGTTGTTAAACCACTTCAAAGTACCTTATTTCTTACAAAAAGGAGATTTTCTCATGAAAATAGACATTTCTCAGGCATACTTTCACATCCCAATAACCAATCATCATCGAAGATTCCTGTCAATAGTTCACCAAAACAAGGTTCTACAATTTACATGCCTACCGTTCGGTCTATCAACGGCACCTCTAACCTTCGCAAGAGTGTCAAATTGGATAGCATCATGCTTAAGACAGATGAACATAAGAGTTATTGTGTACCTCGACGACTTCTTGCTTGCCAACCAAGATCCAGTGAAAGTGCAAAACGACGCCAAAATGACAGTACAGTTTCTTGTCAAACTAGGTTGGATAATCAATGTGGAGAAATCTCTACAGAGCCCATCCCAGCGAATCGAGTATCTAGGAATAGAATGGGACACAATCCGCAATACAAAAGCGCTCCCGAAAAAGAAAATATCTTCCCTGAGAAAAGATCTCAACAAGATCCTAACAAGTCAAAGATGGAGTTGGCAATCCGCAAAAAGCCTGCTAGGAAAACTAAACTTTGCTTCCTTTGTAATACCCTTGGGAAGACTTCACTCCAGGGAGATACAAAGAGCAGCCAACATTTTGCCAGAAGGGTTAGCCCGGAAGAAGTTTCCCACTCCAAAAAAAAAAGCATTCCAACAATGCCAGTGGTGGACTCAAAATCTGGAATAGAAAGACACTCTTTTCAGGTCCTCCGAAACCATTTTCATTACATCAGATGCCTCAGACAAAGGATGGGGAGCGCAGATAAACGAAAAGCACATCAGCGGTATCTGGGACATTTGCCAATCTCGGTGGCATATCAACAAGAAAGAACTGTTTGCAGTAATTCTAGCAATTCGTTCCGAGAAAGATTCAATAAAAAACAAAAGAGTTGTTATACAGTCAGACAATCGAACCGTAATGGCATACATTAAGAATCAGTGTGGAACAAGATCGCCACAGCTGACAGAGCTGGTCTCTTAGGTGCTGATAATGGCTAAGAGGTTACATGCGGAAATCTGTCCCCAATATATACCCGGGATATACAACGACGTGGCCGACAGCTTGTCTCGGCAGATTCATCTATCAGAATGGCATCTATCAACAAAAATTTACAGTCGCATTTTTCAGAAGTGGGGCATTCCCGACGTGGACCTGTTTGCATCGAGCAATTCAAAAGTAGTCCCGGTTTATGTATCTCGGCATGCACAGGACAAAGAAGCTTTGTTCATAGATGCTTTCAGCAAGAGATGGGTGTTCAAGTTAGCATGGATTTTTCCACCACCGTCCCTAATTCCTCGAGTGCTAGCCCATCTGAATCAAGCCAAAGGTATTTTGGAGGTTGGATCTACGATCACGTGCGATAGATCACCCATTTCAAATCCGAAACATCCACCATCACCTGAAAGATCTAACACCTCAAACAAATTTAACGAAAGCGCGAAACCTGTGTTTGGAGGCTTGGAAGGTACGGGGTGGTCGATTTTAACAAAGAACTGGTCATAAGAAGACTGTCACCTCATACAAAAAGCATGGCGTGATTCGTCGCTTAAAACATACCGAGCACCATGGAAAACATGGGTAGAAAGATGTCAACTTCGCGGTCTCAACCCCAACAAGCCAGATGCAGCCTCAGTAGCACAACATTTAAGTTTTCTATACAGAGTAAAGAAGTTTTCACCTAGCACTACAAAACTACATAAATCTGTCATTGCTACCTTTGCTGACCCAGTCAATAGGGATTCTATTACAGACGGTTCGGTAATTAAACAAATTATCAAGGCCATTGAATTATCAAAGCCACCTACACTTAACAGGCAAATTTGGGATATTAAGCCACTGATTAAATGGCTAGAGAACATTCAAATACAGGAAGATAGTATTTTTCAAGTATCGCGACATCTGGCTCTATTATTATTGCTGGCATCTGGGAGAAGGATCCACGACCTCACTTTACTTAATATTGATGAAAATAGCATGGCAATAGATGAGTCTTCTGTTACATTTTGTCCGGAGTTTGGGTCAAAAACCGATAACCGTTCATACAGAAAATTCGCTTGGAGGTTTTTACAAGTCCCAAACGAGAAACTTGATCCAGTCCGATGGGTAAAAGTTCATCTTGCCGCTTCAGATTCGAGAAGAAACGCGGGCGAAAAAAAAAAGATAAATTCTTTGTTTATTACATCTAGAGGTCGAGTAGCAGCTGCATCTAAAGCAGTTATAGTTGGATGGATAAAAACTGCTTTTTCAGAATTACACATTAATTTTTCACCGGATAGCATTAGGTCCGCTGTTGCTTCTTCTAGAAAGAAGGATGACGTCCCTATAGATATAATACTAAGAAATGGTAACTGGAAAAGCGAAAGAAATGTAGTGAGAAATTATTTTAAAGATATAATCAGTATTCCTTCCAAAGATGATGATTCTAATGACTTAAGTTTTGTCAATACTAGCTTTACTACTATATGATAAATTTTGTTTAATTAAAATTACTTACTTGTCTGATTGATTGTTTGGTTGATTTTTATATTTTGCTAATAAACACTAAGTTTTTTTCTTTTTTCTCTGTTTATTTTAAAATACAAGTACTTACAAATATTTTATCCTCTTATTCACATTCGAAACATAACACTAAAAAAAAAATATCTTTCACAGTACACGTGTCGTCAGAATCCAAAGATTTCTCACAGGTCAAGCCGACGGCACAGACCATGAAATAGCAAACGTTTTTCCCCCGAAGGGATAAAAACGATATATTTCATGTCTTGCCTAGGCTTGACCAGGTAAGCCCTTGACGACTCTAATATCAAGGTACTGACGAACACCGCGTTCTTACCGCCCGCGCACCCCTGGAAGGGTACGGGGAGCGAGTATAGAGCGCGGCTAGACGGCACGGGGAGCTATGACACGTATGTATCTAGGGATAAATTGAAGGATGTAATCTCACAGGTCAAGCCTAGGCAAGACATGAAATATATCGTTTTTATCCCTTCGGGGGGAAAAACGTTTGCTATTTTAGAATCTTGGTTGGTGGTTAAAAATTGACGCAACTAGCGTCAATTTTTAAAAAAAACTTGCCATAATAGTGTCAGTACTTTTTTTTACACCACGATACTCATCGTGATATGAAAATGTGAAAGATTTTTACTTTCAGTCCACTTTCGAGTGAAAGTGAAAAAAAATCTTTCAAAATTTTAGAGGAAAAAATAATTTTGATTGATTTTTGTGTAAAAACTATATGTATTCTGGGATTTATAAGGGTTGTGGTAGATATATAAGGTTGCCGATACAAAAAAAAAAAATTCAAAAAAATTAAAAATGTGCTCATGGTAGTTAAAAATACCATATCGGGGTATCGATTTTCGAAGAATTTTCTAATTATTTTCGCCTGGGACTAAAGCTTGCGCTTTGTATGTCCGCATTCGGTTACGCTTTAACACTTTGTGAACTGTACAGTATGACACACTTGTTCCATCCCGACTCCTTAACAATTTAGCAATACTTCGTGTCCCTAAGTTCGGATTCCGGCGAACGACAGCTAAAATGCGTTCCTCAGAGTGAACATTCACTTGACTTCCACCTCCTGCCGCTACCGGAGCAATGCGCCGATTTTCCAACACTCGCCGAAATGCTGCTGTTATCAGACGAGTCAGTTGGGTGTCGAGCGTTCGGAAATTTTTCTCGGTAAATTCGTAACGCACCCGCAGCATTCCCGCAGGCTTCTCCAAGGCACATTAACATGTTGCCGTATTCACGAGCACTATAAACATACGCGTTAGGCATTTTTAAAACAAAACAACAAACACTGAACGTAACAGTAAAAATAATAACAACAAGAATTTAATACACAAAACAACTGAACTAGTATAAACGAGAGACTCACGCGCACGTCGACACAGAACTGTCTCAAAAACTAAAATTAATAATCAACAGCGTAGTTCGTGTGTCCTTGGTCCTTGCGGTAGTCGCGGCGGGCGGCCAAGCGAGAATTTTCTACATGTTGGCTTTGTAAATTGCGAGGCGTCACGGGTTAGCGGCGCGCGTGTATTCATTCGTTTCATATTCGTACCGAGCTAAATAAAAGAGTTAAGCGTCCGCGCGTTTATTGACCCTATTATCAGCTGGTACCATTTTAATTT